AACCTCACCAGTCGATCATAGCCAAGGTCACATATATAGTGTTTAACCTCACCAATTGATCATAGCCAAGGACGAATATATAGTGCTTAACCTCACCAGTTGATCATAGCTAATGGCGCATATATAGTGTTTAACCTCACCAGTTGATCATAGCTAATGGCGCATATATAGTGTTTAACCTCACCAGCCAGTTGATCATAGCTAATGGCGCATATATAGTGTTTAACCTCACCAGTTGATTATAGCTAATGGCGCATATATAGTGTTTAACCTCACCAGTTGATCATAGCTAATGGCGCATATAGAGTGTTTAACCTCACCAGTTGATCATATGTAATGGCGCATATATAGTGTTTAACCTCACCAGTTGATCATAGCTAATGGCGCATATATAGTGTTTAACCTCACCAGTTGATCATAGCTAATGGCGCTTATATAGTGTTTAACCTCACCAGTTGATCAGAGTAACATCAAATGAGTTAAAGCTTCAACAGTTTTACCTGTTTAAATAACCAAAATAATTTATTACATTTATTACACGCATCATAATACATCATACATCATTATCCTATATTCGTTTCACTGTCTACCATGTGTTAAGATTCACATTAAAAATTTAATCATCATTATTATTAAAACGAATAACTAAAAGTGTCATTGCTTTCAAAAGCAAGGGCTGCAGACGTGATATACTAACTAATATAGTGAAAATGGTTCTTTCTGAAGATGGTCGGATGATTTCTAATATTATCTGCCTCTGACAAATACTGCCCTCATGATCTCGTCTGGAGTTTGAGATTTTGTGCACTCAATACGTGTTTAACCGCACTATATGTTGTGCCTGTTCCAAGTCGGACTTCAACCGCACCACATGTTATTCCTGCTTCAGGACGAAATTTAACCGCACCACATGGTGTTCCTGTTCTAAGTCGGACTTTAACCGCTATACATGTTGTGTCTGTTCCAAGTCTAGCTTGAACCGCATCACATATTATTCCTGCTCCAAGCCGGACTTTAACGGCACCACATGTTGTGCCTGTTCCAAGTCCGGCTTTAACCGCACCACATGTTCTGCATGTTCCAAGTCGGACTTTTACCACACCGCATATTATTCCTAGTTCAAATCGGATTTTAACTGCATCCAAGTCTGACCTTAACCGCACCACATGTTGTGCCTGGTCAAATGCGGACTTAAAGCGCATTACATGTTGCGCTTGTTCCAAGTCAGACCTTAACCGCACCACATGTTGTGTCTGTTCCAAGTCGGGTTTTATCTGCATCAAAGTCAGACCTCAACCGCACAACATGTTGCATCTGTTCCAAGTCGGGCTTTATCTGCATTTAATTCAGACCTAAACAGCACCACATGTTGTGTCTGTTCCAAGTCGGGCTTTATTTGCATTCAAGTCAGACCTTAACTGCACCACATGTTGTGTCTGTTCCAAGTCGGGCTTTATCTGCATCCAATCAGACCTTAACCGTACCACATGTTGTTGCTGTTCAATGTCAAACGTTAGCCGCACAACATGTGGTACCTGTTCCAAGTCAGACCTTAACCCCACCACAATATGTGCTTGTTCCAAATTGGGTTTTAATCGCACCACATGTTGTGTCTGTTCAATGTCGGACTTTAACCACACTCCATGGTGTTCCTGCTCTAAGTCGGGCTTTAATTGCACCACACGTTGTGCCTGGTCCAAGTCGGGCTTTGAGCGCACCACAATATGTTCTTGTTTCAAGTCAGACCTTAAACGCACCATATGTTGTGTCTGTTTTAAGCCGGGTCTTAACCACACCGCATGTGCCTGCTCAAATGTTGACTTTAACCGCACCATATATTGTGCCTGTTCTAAGTCTGGCTTTAACCGCATCTTATGTTGTGTCTGTTCCAAGTCGGACTTTAACCGCATCACATGTGCCTGTTCCAAGATGTGCATTTACCGCACCACATTTTGTGCTTGTTCAACCATACCACTTGACAATGTTGTGTTCGTTCCAAGTAGGGCTTTAACCTCACCACATGTTGTTCCTGTTCTATGTCCGGCATAACCGCACCACATGTTGTTTGTGTTTCAAGGTGGACTTAAACAGCACCATATGTTGTGCCTTTTCGAATGCTGACTTTAAACGCACCACATGGTGTGGCTGTTCTATGTCAAACTTTAACTGCACCTCATGTTGTGCCTGTCCTAAATCAGGCTTTAACCACCTTACATGTTGTGCCTGTTCCAAGTCCGGCTTTAATCGCATCACATGTTGTGTCCATTCTAAATCGGGATTTCACCGCACCATACTTTGTGCTTGTTCCAAGTAGGACTTTACCCACGCAACATGTTGTGTATGTTCCAAGTCGAGTTTTTACCGCACCACATCACAAATTGTGCCTGTATCAAGTCGGGCTTTAACCACTACATGTTATGCCTGTTCCATGTTGGGACTTACCACACCACATATTGTTCCTTTTTCAAGTCGGACTTTAATTTCACCACATGTTGTGCCTGTTCCAATTCTGACTCTAACTGCACTACATGTTTTGCCTGTTCCAAATCTGGTTTTAACTGCATCACATGTTGTGCCTGTTCCAAGTCGGATTTAATCGCACTACAATATGTGCTTGTTCCAAGTTGGACTTTAACTGCACCACATGTTGTGCCTGTTCTATCTCGCTCCTAATCGCACCACTTGTTGCTCCTGTTTCAAGTCAGATATTAACCGCACCACATGTTGCTCCTGTTTCAAGTCTGACTTTTACCTCAACACATGTGTTTGTTACAAGTCGGACTTTAACCACACAACATGTTGTTCCTGTTTCAAGTCGGGCTTTAATCGCACCACATCTTGTGCTTGTTTCAAGTCGGGCTTTAACCACACCACATGTTGTGCCTGTTCTATCTCTGGCTTAACCGCACCACATGTTGTTCCTGTTTCAAGTCAGACGTTAACCGCACCACATGTTGTGTTTGTTTCAAGTCGGGCCTTAACTGCATCACATGTTGTGCATGTTCCAAGTCGGGCTATCTGCTCCATGTGTTATCTGTTGCTGTCATTATTTGTACGTCTTTTTTTTTCGGTGGAGTCATGTGATATTGGTTTGTGTTGTCTATTATACTTTCTATATTTTAATGGTTATTCCTGTTTTTGATGTAATATACTCCCAATAATCATAACCTAATAGAAATAGGATTATATTTACTGAAACCGTACAGCACATGACTTACTTGACTTAATCCTCTTCATTCTTTGTGGAACATAGGGCTGCCACAGTCGCTTTCCGCCTTACTCTATTTTAGGCTATTCTTTTTGCTTCGTTCCAGGTATATCCAATCTCCTCCAGCTCCTGGTGCCTTGATCTTCTCCATCTGTGAAATGGTCTCCCCGGTCTCCGATGTCCTTAGGGGTTCCATTCTAATGCTTGTCTAGTGATGGTACCTACAGGTTTCCTCAAAGTGTGCCCAATCCATTGCCATGTTCTTCTCTTTAGCTGTTTAATTGCTGAACCTGGTTGGTCCTTTCCCATAAGCATTTGTTACTAATTGTTTCTGGCCACCAAAATTTAAAAATTTGGCGCAGGCATTTGTTGATAAAAACCTGGATTTGATGTTGTACCCCTGCTGTAAGTCTCCAGGTTTCTGCTCCATAAAAAAGGACTGATTTTACATTGGTGTTGAAAATTCGAATTTTGGTGTTTTCTGTAAATGCTGTGGATTTCCAAACTGGCTTCAGCATAGCAAAGGCTTGTCGAGCTTTACTTATTCTTGTTCAGATGTCTGCATCTGTCCCACCAGTTCTATCCATGATGCTTCCCAAATACGTAAATTGGTCTACTTCTTCAATATCTTCTCCTTCAATTGACACTGTTCCTCCTTTTCTGGTCTTTACTTTCAAAATTTTTGTCTTCTTACTGTTGATTTTTAGCCCTAGTTTTTTTCCTGTTTCATGGAGTTTGGTGGTTTTGTCTCTCATGTCTTTCAAAAGGTGAGATAACAGAGCCAGGTCATCTGCAAAATCTAGGTCTTCTAGTCTTTGTGCGAAGTTCCACTGTATACCTCTTGGTGTAGTATCTAGTGCTTGCTTAGTTACCCAGTCTATAGCTATCAAGAATAGCGTAGGGGAGAGTAAGCAGCCTTGTTTCACACCAGTATTTACATGTAAAGGGTTGGTGAATGATGATTCATGTATCAACTGTACTGTGAAATCCTCGTACAATGACTTGATCATGTTCACAATTTTTGTTGGTATACCATAATGCCTTAGCAGTTGCCACAACCCTTCTCTGTTGACACTATCGAACGCCCTTTCAAAATCGACGAAGTTAATGTAGAGGGATGATTGCCATTCTACTGATTGTTCAATGATGGTACGTAGTGTTGCTATTTAGTCAGTGCAGCTTCTGTTTGATCTGAAACCTGCTTGTTCATCTCTTAGTACCTGATCAATTGCATATTTAATTCGGCTGAGTATAATTTTGCACAGTATTTTACTAGCTACTGATAGAAGTGTTATGCCTCTCCAATTCTCACATAACCCTAAATCTCCTTTCTTTGGCAGCTTTACTAACAAACCCTTTAACCATTCCGTTGGTAACTTTTCTTCCTGCTAGATTTTATTCAGGAGTTTGTACATATGTTCTATTATTTCATTGCCTCCGGATTTGAAAGCTTCAGGTGGTATTGCATCTATGCCTGCGGATTTTCCATTTTTAAGTGATTTAATGGCCTTTTTCACTTCATATTTCTTGATATTATCTATTTTTATGTTCAAATCTTCCCCAGCTGGCTCTACTCTTACTGGTTGGTCTGGTTCTGGTCTATTTAGAAGATTGATAAATTATTCATTCCATCTTTCCATCTGTTCGTTAAGATCGGTTAGGACTTTTCCATCTTTATCCTTTACTGGTTTAGATTTAGCTGTTTTACGTTTACTAAGAGTTTTGGTGATATTGTACAAGGTTTTGATGTCGCCCTTATATGCAGCAAATTCTGCTTCAGTTGCAAGGTCATTTACATATTTTTCCTACAGCATTTTATCACTTCTTTGTTGAGGAACTGGTGTTTGTTTTGTGCTTCTTGTTTCTGAGCCCTTGTTCTTGCATTGTTTACCTTTTCCTTCATTTTCCTTCTCTCTTCTACTTTATCCCATGTTCCATGTGATATCCAATCTTTCTTTTTGTTAGTTTTTCTTCCAAGTACATCTTCACACACTTCCTTGATGATGTCTCTTTCCACTTTCCATTCATTATTCATGTCCAGGTCTGGCACATCTTTAAGTACTTCAAATCTGTTTCTGAGCTCGATTTGGAATTGATCTTTGAGATGTAGGTCTTTGAGCTTCTCCACATTATACTTTATACGTTTTTGTTCGACTTTGGTCCCTTTTGCAAGTTTTATTTTTACTTTGGCTATGCTATGATGGTGGTCTGAGCTGATATCTGCTCCTCTCATAACTCTAACGTCTTGAAGTGAGCTTCTCCATCTCTGACTTATCATGATGTGGTCAATCTGATTTTTTGTTCTTCCATCAGGTGATTCCCATGTCTCCTTATGTATATTCTTCTGTGGAAATAAACTGCCTCCTATTACAAGCTCATTCAGCTCACAGAATTCAACTAGCTTTTCTCCATTCTCATTTATTTCTCCTAGACCATGTTTTCCTAATGTTTTCTCTCTGTCCTTGTTCTCTTTTCCAATCTTAGCATTCATATCACCCATGACTATTTTGATGTCTCTTTTGGGGATTTTGTCCCAAACATGTTGTAGTTGTTCATTAAAACATTCCTTTACATCCTCTTCGGCATCATTGGTTGGTGCATAACACTGTATGATAGTTATGTTTTGGCACTTAGCTTTTAGTCTCACCCACATCATTCTCTCACTTACTGGTTCCCATTCCATCAGGCTCTTCTTTGATGTGTTGGAAAGCATTACTGCTACTCCTTTGGAGTGATAATCATTTTCATTGGGGTTTCCCGAGTATAGAATCTCCTCACCTGTTTCCAGTGTCAAAACTCCACTTTGGTTCCATCTTGCTTCACTTATGCCAAGTATGTTTATATCATAGTTTCTCATCTCCTTTGCTATCTGAGCACATTTTCTGCATTCATACATTGTGCGTAAATTCCATTGCGCAACTTTAGTGACTTTTTTGGGCGAAAACAGTGGTATCGGTTTATTAGACGTCATTCTCTGCATTGCATGGCGGTCAGTTGCTTTAAAAACAACTTCTGCTCCAACCCTAGAAGGGCAAGCATGTTTAACGACTGTATAAGTTTCTGTAATCAGCTGATTCTTTACAGGGCAAGGTGATTAGCACATACCATTCAAGAATTCCCAATTCTTTTTAAAATGATATGTTTTACAATTATTAGGCACTAGTAATTCAAAATGCCAGTTTTATCTGAAGCAACCGCACTCCGCCTTTTATAGGATTCTTGGTGCTCAATCTTTGAATTTTGTGTGATTTTTTTAACTGTGGTTTGTCCTTGCGTTTTGTTTTCTTTTTGGATTAGTTTCGTTTTTCCTTTTGGTATTTGTTTAAATTTACTTACAAATAAACGGGACGTTGAAGGGAAATTTGTTATGGTCAAATTCGAGGCTCAATGTATGTGGATAAAACTATTTTACTAGAGCAATATACTTTCAATAATTTCCAGCTTTTGTGAAAAGTAAAATCACAAAATAACTGAATTCCTAAGAAAATTCAAAAAGGAAAGTCCCTAATCAAATGGCAAAATCAAAAGCTCAAACACATCAATCGAATGGATAACAACTGTCATATTCCTGACTTGGTACAGGCATTTTCTTATGTAGAAAATGGTGGATTGAACCTGGTTTTATAGCTAGCTAAACCTCTCACTTGTATGACAGTCGCATCAAATTCCATTATATTGACAACGATGCGTGAACAAAACAAACAGACACAATAGGTAAAAATGTCAAAAATAGGGGTACAGCAGTCAACATAGTGTTATCATCTTAATCACTATAATACTGGCAATCAGACTATTTATAATGATTTCCAAAAATCAAATTAAAACGTATGCTACCGATGTTCCTGTGCCAGATACATTGTTTCGGAATAACGTGCATTGGATACGCTTTAGATGAACAAATATTGTTGAACCTTAGAATAGTTAGTAAAATTGATAAACTGTAACTTATCAACTTGAAGTAAATAATCTGTTATGGCTCATAGTTATACATATAATGCCGGTCTGCTGCATATCAATTAATTTGATTAAAATGAAGAAACCTTTTTTGACTATAATACGTCATAAATTTCATAGTAGTGTAGACGAACGATAGATCCATCTCATTCACATCGCATTTGCTAAAATATTTGGAATTGCGTTTTCTTAATCAACTTCATTTGGTTCAATTTCCAACAAGCAGTTCAATTAAAAACCTATTCTCTATCAATGGTTTAATTATTTATGACATGAAGTGTTTATAACAGCTTGTTAAAAAAAGAGGCGAAGAATATATCAAGGGATCATGCACAACTTATAAGTCGAACATACACTATCTATACAACGCTATGACAAAACAAAACCAAAACAGACAGAATGGCAAAAACCACAAACACTTAATTGAAGTGTAAGACTGAGCAACACGAACAACAATATTGTTTTTATATGTAAACATCATCATTTCTATCGCAACAAAAAACTATCAAATCACAGATAATACAGGAATCCCATGTATACATGGAAACATTCTGGAAAAATCACAAAGCCATCCTTCTCTCCTTCTCTCCTTAAGTATCAACATTCAAAAAGACGATTCAAATCTCTAGTCTTTATACTGGGTACTCAAAATGACACAAAACCCTCATAAAGAACATCATATAGCAGGCTTATCTATATGTTTAACTACCGCCTTTTTGTTTACTTACGACACATTTCAAAATTAAATTATAATCATTCGCAATATCATTTTCTATGTTCAGTAGACCGTGAAAATGGAGTCGAAACTCTAATTTGGCATTAAAATTTGAAAGATCATATCATAGGAAACATGTGTATCAAGTTTCAAGTTGATTGGACTTCAACTTCATCACAAACTACCTTAACCACAAACTTTAACCTGAAGCGGTACTATCGTAGGTGGGACATAAAATTGAATGCCGTCGACAGTACACAAGTTTATAGTCACCACCATGAATTTGTCGCCCGATAAGATTCCTGTTCGTATCGTCTTTTTACGAGGTCCTAGGATAATTGTCTGATCTGTGAGTTTATGGATTTTTTACACTTTTATATCGGGACGTTTTGACTGAGACAAACAAAATCTCAAGTACATAAAAGCAACACAAATCCCCCCAAAATCGGAGGTGATCTCAAGTGCATCGGAATGGTAAAAAGGTCTTGCGCTCCACATTTGACACACTTTGCGTTACACCTATAAAACATTTTGACAAATCAATTCAGGAGATAAGTGGATTGGTAATTGGCTCCCACTCATCTGACTGTAACACAGCAATAAATTCGTAGACCATTGTTCATGTAAATTTTCTAACCTTTAAACTGAAACATTTGTTTGGAACTGAAACACTTTTTTTTTCAGATCGAAGAATAAGTTAGACTTTTACCGGTGGAAATAACATACCTTTTGAAAAAATATAAAGAACACTGTACAACAATGAAATCTGAACATGAGAAACACGAACCCCTTTCAAACAAAAACTAATTTGCTGATTATGTCCTATACTTAAACACTTTCGGGATATTTTGACTGAGTTGGAATTCTCATGGACGTAGAGATACGCATAGTACAAGATGCTAACCCTTTCGAAGCAACCGTTCTCTTGCCGTTTTTGGTAAAATGAGGTTATCCAGGTTTGTTTTGTCTTGACTTGTAAATGAGAAAAGATTTATGAGTCTTTGTAATTTTGTTTTTTTTATAATGCTCTTAAACTTTGTTTTTTATTTGGTCTTAAAACTGTTTCAAATTTAGCGACACTGGTGAGTCTTATGTAGATTAAACGTGCGCCTGGCATACCAAGTTATAGGCTTGATATATTTAATTAGCTTTTACAACCACGTGCATTCAGCCAATGCTCAGTAGGCAGCATATTTGTGTTGACAAACTGTGATATGTTCATTCTCTAAAATTAACGTGTTTTTTTTAATGTTGAATTATTCGACATAGTAAGGATTTTCTAACCCAGTCATTGATTGCCTTAGCCGTATTTACCACCACTTATCAGAAACTGTTGTAATTATAAATGCATTTCAATGTTGTCTATAATTTCGATTTACATTTGTTGGATTCGTGCTCAACTGATGATTCTAATGTAGTCGTACCAACTTATAAGCTTGGTATTTTTGATGAGTGTACTTAAACATCGATGAACTACAGTCTTTTTTACTTACGACACATTTCAAAATTAAATTATAATATATATAATTTTTTGTACTATTTCATTTTCTTTAATTTTAATCAAAAGGCAATATCAAATTTTGATTATTGAATTGTGCATTATTGTCTGATGTTTTGCCGTTGAATATTAAAACACTTAAGGGACTTGTCCTCAATAGAAACTGGTTGTATCTTGTGACTGGGTAAAGTGTTGGCCTGCAACCACACACACACACACACACACACAATAAACAATACGACTAGTCTGCACCGACTTTCACTCTAGGGACTAACTCTTGCAACAAATGACGACTCTGGTTTCCGCAATATATAATCTAATAATTCATAACTCTGCTACATGTATATGTACATCTCTGGGGAACTGGTAACTCGCTTGCTGCTAGAGGTATCAGGTACACGTGTTGAGCTTAAGAGTCAACATGACCCGGACCTGGCACCAACTGTCATAAATGGAAACTGGGTGTATCTTGTGACTGGGTTATGTGTTGGCCTGCATCCACACAAACACACACACACACACAATACGACTAGTCTGCACCGACTCTGTCTCTGGGGACTAACCCTTGCAGCAAATGACGACTCTGATTCCCGCAATATATAATTTAATAGTTCAGCATGGAATACAATTATACAGAGTTGGAACTGCTCAGTGTAATGGTAAATCCAATCTGCCATGTCAAAATGATAAAACAGTTTGTACAACAAATCAAAAATTACTTGAATAAACTTTACAAATATTTCTCTAAATGAGTGACAAATACAATTAACGGATTATGGAAAAATTAGCACATAGCAAATAATTAACAATGAGGGGGTGGACAGGGCGGTACCCTTCTCCCACCTACCGCCCCCTATGCCCCACTTTCCACTTTTAGAATCTTTTTTAGTCTCCCACCTATTTTTTGTCTCACTCCTCCCACCTCCCACCTCCCTCAAAAGCTGTCCACCCCTCAACAATAGAGCATACAGACTTATTCATCGAATTAAATAGATAAAAGAATAATAGATAAGATTGAAGTAAATGTAGCTAATTGAAAAACAAATTGAAACATGAAATTAGATTAGCTTAAGCTTCTAAACTTGACATAAACCTTTCACAAGAAAAATTACAAAATCCCTTAATGAAACATTGCCAATATCAAAAAAACAAAAATTTTACAAAATCTTTTACAAAATGTCCGAAAAGTCTCAAAATCAAATTTTGTCCATTTTTTCACTGTGACAGACTTATAATCAACATCTAATACAAAATCAGCATATAATTTCCTTTATTGATATGGATTGAAAATATAAATCCTTTCTACAGAATTTTATTAGTAAATACACATTTATTGTGGTGGTGGAAGTCCTTCCGTTGTTGTGTCTGGAGTTGATGTAGTGGTAGAGCTTTCTGTAGTTCTAGAATCTGGTGTATTTATATTCATTGTATCTATTGGTGTGGCACCTAAATACAAATACGTTACAAATTCTCAAAATCATTTATACTTTTAGATTACAACATGAACGTTTTCTTATCGGTCCGGGTATCAGCCCGAGACTTCCATGCTTGAACAAGGGCTTCATCCCAAGGTCCCGAAATTGTTCGAGGGATGATATAAGGGTCGGTATAAAACTCTCATATAAATATGTACTTATATCATATACAGAAGCCCATTTATGTGTTTACTTACCGTGTTTTTCTTTTGTTTTTTGTTTATTTGTTTGTTGATTGGTAATTTATGCCTAAT